TTTCTCTATATTTTTGTTTATTTTATTTTCAATTATGATTTTGTTTCTTTATTTGTTTAAATTAATTAATTATTTTTATAAATTATAAAATGCACAAAAAAATCAGAAAAAGAGCAAAATAAAATATTTATTTATTTCAATATTTTTTATAAATAAATTCACATGTAAATATTTAGTTTTAATTAGGTTGCAATTTTAATCCTTTTTAACAAAAATACAAAAAAAAGTAGAATTAGGTTTAATAAATTTTTATTCCTTTTAAGTTTCCCTTTTATAATAATATTATTTATTTATTTTTATAATTAAATTGTACAATAAAAACTTAGGTTTAAATTAGGTTAAGATTCAACATTTTTTCTTAAATAACTTAAAAATAGTTAGAACTAGGTTTAACATTTTATTTTAGTTTTAATTAATCCTTTTTTTATTAAATCTTAAAAAACATAAAAATACCAAAAACATTCTTTTTTTAATTTTTAATTTTAATTCTTTATTAATTTAATATTTTGCAAAAGGGTCCAACGCCCATATTTTTAATTGTTTAATCTGCATATTTATTTTATCGTTTAAATAATCATGTACCTCTCCCAAAGCCTTGTAACTTAAACTTTTCGCACTTTTCAGTTTCTTTACTTTATTTGCTTTATTTATTTTTCCGTCAAATTGGGTCCGGTTTAATTTGGCGGTGTGGACCCGCGCCATTTGTAATAGTTTTAGATTTACTTTTCCGCAAATAACTTTTAACTGTTAAACAAAGCATGCAAGAATGAATGGCTATAATAAAATCAAGCGTAGATCACCCATAACCTGACAAGACAAATATCAACGAAAACGACACACGAATCACACACACCACCCCTAGGGTACGCCTCACTGTTGCCTTGCCTCGAAAGGTGATCGTCGAGTAGAGGATGTCTTAGTAAGTCCTCATGATCCGGGAACCTGGCATGAGGGTAGCTTCTAAGGTGTCTTCCCATTGCTCTGGTGATCACCATGTCCCGAACATCGAATTGACCCGAACACCTCCAACGGTGGTGCTACCTACCTCTCAATGGTGGGATGGCACTACTTTAAAGGACATCTACACAGACGAATTCCTTAGGGTAGGTAGGTTCTCAAGGATACTTGCTCTAATTTCACACAAAAATACTTTTCACACCAACACATTTTCAAAAGCTTTCGAAGCAATTTTTTCAAACACTCTGACGTACGAGTCGAACTGAAATTTTTCAAAGAAACTTTTTTAAACCCACAATTGAAAAGCAAGCAAACATTTTTGAAAACACGTTGAGCAAGTATCTAAGAGCCCATGGATAACCATGGATAGAAAGGGTGCTAATACCTTCCCTTTCTATAACCTACCTCCCGAACCGAGAGATCTCTACAAGGAATTTTTCTGTGCTTTTGTCCTTTCCATTTGGAGAAAATAAAAGACGGTGGCGACTCTTGCTTCCGCGACATTTCGCGAACCAGCGTTAAACAGTCAGTTCCAGATCCACCGATCACAGAGTGTTCTCAGGCATTAACCGTAATCTTAAAGGATATGTGTGAATGTTCAATAAAAGGTTTTCAAATAATTAAGTTTGATCACACGAAAGTGCTCGAATGAAATTGAGAAATGTCCAATTTTCAATAGTTGTACAATAGTAACTGTGATACGGTGGGAGAACTGACTTGAGTTTTGCGTTTGTTTTCGCAAATGTTTCGGTTGAGCAAGAGTCGCCACCGACTTTTTATTTTATCCTAAGGAAAGGTTAAAAAGCACAGCAAAAACCTTTGAGATGTTTTCTTGGGTTCGGGGAGTAGATTATAGAAAGGGAAGGTATTAGCACCCTTTCTATCCATGGTTATCCATGGGCTCTTAGTTATCACTTAGATCAACTTGCCTTTATTTTTAATTGTTTGAAATGGTGCTTTCAATTGTTTGAAATGGTGCTTTTGTGTGTGGGTTTGAAAATGTTTTTGAAAAGAGGCCAATGTGGTGGCAACCTTTGTAATGATCCATGTTGGGATGTATACAAAGATGTATGTCTTTTGAAAATGTTTTCAATATTTTTGAAAGTTGTTTTTGAAAGTGTAGTGATGTGTGGTTTTGAAAAAATAGGCAAGTGTTTTTGTTTTGCAAGTTGGCAAGTAACCAAGAGTTTGTCTACTCTAAATTTCTCAAAGATCTTTGCTATGTTTTAAACCTTTTAACAATTTTGTTTCACCATTGTATTTGGTGGACAATCTTGTCTTAGGATGTGAACGGGACGGGCGCGGGTCATCGTTTAGACCATGATTGCAATGGTGCCAAGTATCTTTGGGCAATTTTTCCTTTAAGGGACTTGATCATTTTTTAGGCAACTTTTGAAAGCGTCATCGAGGGACTATGATCATTTGAATTGTTTTGTTTTTGCCAAAGATACCTAACATGCAATATGGCCCATTATTGAAGGCAACAAGTGGAGTAACCCTAGGGGTGCAAGTGTGATTAGTGTTGTCCATTTTCATGCTTGTTTATCTTGAATTTAGGTCAAACTTTTTGTTGTTTTTGATTTTCATACAAAACCCTAATTCTAACATGGCATATTTAGAAAGCTTTTAAAGTGCGGAATTTAAAGGTCCTAAATTATTACAACACAATATATGGGAAGGGGGGTACAAATGTTCAAATGGGGATATTTTAGCAAGAAATTAAAACCTAAACTATTACATCCAAATTGAATTATACAAATTAATTAATTGCACAATAATTAAATAAAATAAATATGCAAGATGCAAAAATGATTTTTTATATGTATCACTAGTGCAGAAATGACTTTTTACATCGAGTGAAACTGACTTTTTACATCGGTTCTGGGTCCGATGTAAAGTCAGGCGATATAGTAAATCAGGGACTTTTTACATCGGTTCTGGGACCGATGTAAAAAGTCTCTTTTTTACATCGGTTATAATATAAGGACCGATGTAATAAACTGTTATTATGCACATTTTTTAAAAAATTGATCCAGTTTTTTACATCAGTTGTAAGTAATACCCGATGTAAAAAGTCCATTTTTTACATCGGTTATAATATATGAACCGATGTAAGAAACAATTATTATGCACATTTTTTAAAAAAATTGATCCAATTTTTTACATCGGTTGGAAGTAATACCCGATGTAAAAAGTCCCCAGTGACGCAACTTTTTACATCGGTTATTATCCCCAACCGATGTAAAAAGTCCCTTTTTGAAAGTTTTTACATCAGTTTTTACTAATAACCGATGTAAAATGTATGAATTTTTTTTGGAATAGATTATTTATTTTCTAGATGTTTCCCTATACAAATATAATTTGTACCCCTTTTTTCATATTTTTCCAATATCACACAGACTATATTTATGTCGCTATATAGATTTCATAGCTTTCCAACATCACATATATCACATCTAGGTCGATGTTTTCATATTTTTCACAACAAACTTACAAATTGAACAATTGTATTGCAAACTTGTATTGTATTACAACAAACAAACTTACAATTACAAATTCTTCACAAAATATACAACAATATTCAACTATTTATAAGTCTTTTTTCAAAACTTACAATTACATATTATTCACAAAATATACAAAAATATTCAACTATTTATAAGTTTCCAAACTTAAATTACCAATATAAAATCTTCGGTAGACAACACCAAAATCACATTGCCTGACAATAAATAATAACAATTAACATCAGCAAAAAAATCAAGAAATTCAAATATGCAAAAACCATATGTATTGTGCAATAACCACAACTTATACAATTCTATAAAACTCACCAAGATAAACTTAATTTGCATGTAACTCAAAGAAACATTTTGCCCAACAAAGTCGCAAATCATACAAATCATCTTGTGTTAATTCTGTTGGGTCATCAAATACCTATAATACATAAATATAACAATATAGAGTTAATTTTTAAAAATTCATATTAAGTCAAAAATAAAAAGTAAATAACAAAGTAAAGTTATTTTTAGTACCTGCATCCAATTCTCGGTTATATTAGCAGAGACAATATCCAACATATTTTTCATCACATAATATCCACAATCATTAGAGTTATGTTGTTGCCTTGTCTATAATTGAATGACATAATTAGTGAATACTTATCATAAATTTAACTATATAATTACAATTTACATCACACTTACATTGGGATGAAGCCATGTAGCCTTTTTTCTATTTCCATTTTCCATTTGATGAATCCCAAAAGAACTAATACAGAAAGATAAACATCACATAGCTAAATTTACTCGCCAATGAAAAATGACATAACTATTAGTTGTCAATGAAAGTCACATGAAAGATAAAGTCGAAAAATGACATAGCTAAATTTACTCGCCAATAAAAAGAACTCTTAAATTAATATACTTGACCAAGAAAATATTAAGTTTTCAATATTAATTGTATTTTGTTAAAAAAATTATAAAGTAAGAGAGATTAAAGACAAAAAAATAAAATAAAAAACATATTTAATTCTATAATTAAATATTATTAAATAAACATAGAAAAGAACACATTAATAGAAAATAATATCTAAGGTACTCACTGCTAAGATCACGGTTATAGAAGTTATATCAAAGCGAACAGGCTAGTATGTCTTTACATTCTTGTATAAATACTATTATACTATAAAAATAGAATTCTAATCAATTGGCTTCTCGAGCAATGAAAATAAACTCAATTTTTTATTAGCATCCAATTCAAATATGGAAATAGTAATATTAAGAATACGTAACAATCCATTGAAAATGAATCAAAGGGTGTCTGAATGCCTCATATAGGCATGGAAAAAATCATAATCAGTATGGAAACATTGCAGAATTGGTTGTATTAATTAAAGATGTTATCCACTTAGGTTTATTACCCATGTGATGTAAGTCTCAATGTTTATCATTTTATACAACTGCAAACAAAAGAAGAAAAAGAATTGTCGCATAGTAATTTACACTGATGCACATAATAGATCAGATTCTCAAACTTAAACATTAGATTAATATATTGGACAGAGCAATAATCTGACTTAGAGTAGTTCTTTTGTGATACCGTCTTTTCTGCTGTAAACTATAGAGAACAAACAAAACCGATTACCTAACAATTCACAACACAAAAATCGTATGTGCAGCAGATAAATCAATTTTCAACAGTAAAAATGACCAATCTATACCTCTTTCTGGACAGCCTCTTCCTTTTCAGATAAAATGAGCTCAATGTGGCATGGAGAAGACATGTAGGCTAACAAAAAAAAACAAATATATAAGACATAGTATATTCAAATAATAAAGAATTCATTCTGAGACTAAGAAAGGCTCAACATACGATTGATTCTTCCATGAGCCCTGTAAGTACGACCGTCTTTGCTTTTGAGCTTGATTGACCTGAATATGAGAAACATAGAGAGCATCCACATCCAAACCTTTCACCTGGAAATAGACAACAATCAATAGAACAACGTCATTGAAATTTGATTTAAAACATCAAAATGCAAGTAAATACATCATATATAAAACTCAATAACAAATACAAAATACAAAAGACATACTTCAGCGTTACTCTCAGCATTCTTGAGCAAATCAAGAATAAACTTAGCAGACTTGGCAGGCCAACGTCCTTGCCCATTGGAATGCCTGTTCTTGGCTTGGGCTGTCCTCCCAACACCACGACAGAAGCGTCGGAATGGAATGGCCTGTTTGTGGGCCAAAACATCTTCCAAGTATCTTTTGGCTTTGGTGAGTGGCAACTTCCTGATGGCAAACGCGGTTTCCCTAGTGTTCTACAAAGGAAATTAAGGAGAAAAAAAACAAAATCTCACATTCCTGATATAAAACCATAGTAAAAACAAAACAAGTAAACAAATCTAAAGTAAACTATCAAGTAAAACGAAAAACTATCTAAATAGATATAATCTAATTTTTAACACAAATTCAGTAGATCAACTATTGCCCCCTAATTACTAGTGGATATAGCATATGAAATATAAAAATGATAAAGAATCTCAAGAATTAAACACATGTTTAATTACTAAAAAATCTAATATTTTCGATTCACTATGAGTGATGAACAAAAAGGTGAGAGAAATAAGTACCTTGAAATGAATCCTAAGGTCGGCGCCTCTGGCCTTGGTTGCTGCAATTACAACAGAGAAACAGTAATTAGGTTAAATTAATCTAAAATCAACACTTCAATTTAAATACTGATTTGAACGAAAGGTAATCATCATACACAAACAAAGAAAGTATAAAAACTAATATGAATCAAGACGGCTAGAGGGGATTTACATTTGGTGGCATTGTCGGCCTCTTGGGAGTACCTCACCATGGCTACCTTTCTGCGAAGAATTGATTTCGGAGGAGGCTGAAAGGAAGACGATTAGGGTTTAAACGATGGTGTTTTTCGGTTTATAAATGTTCCTTATTTCATGCAATTGATGGGCCTAGTTAGGGTTAATAGAGCCCCAAAATAAGGACCGACGGCTGAGGTTTGGCGCGATAGTGATGGTGAGCGGCGGCTGAGGTTTGGTTTGAAACGGCGAAAAAACGAACGGAAACGGCGGTCGAACGACGGTCGAAAACCTTCGGAAACGGCGGTCGATGATGGTGGCTGGGAAACGGCGGTGGTTGGATCGTGAGCGTGAGCGTACAGTGGCAAGGAGTGAAACGGCGATGGTTGGATCGTGAGCGTGAGCGTAGAGTGAAAACGATGGCCAAGGAGAATATTATACAGTGGAAATACTGAAATTTGTGAAATAAGGGTTTAACAAGCTATTACCTCGGTGGAATAGGATAACCGATGTAAGGGTTGGTTTAGTGGACAACCTATTACATCGGTGGAACCTTACAACCGATGTAAGGGTTTTGGCTTTTTTACATCGGTCCATTGTAATAACCGATGCAAGCTGATTTTCTGGCTTTTTTACATCGTTTTATACTTCAACCGATGTAATAAGTTGCGAAAAAATTATTTTATTCTTTAATTTATTTTTTATATTAATATCTGTTGTGAAGATATTACATCGGTTTTTAGTCAACCGATGTAATATATTGCATGTTTTTTTTTAATATTTCTACTACCTTGTTTCTTATTTACAAAAATTCCACCGTATTTTTTTCTGAAAACTTTTTACATCGGTGGATGCGTTTGCCCGATGTAATAGGTAGCGAAATATATTTTTTTTCATATTTTTTATATCATTGCAAATAAATACCTGATGTAAAAAATTTGTTAGTTGTATTTTTTACATCATATATTTTGATACCCGATGTAAAAACCTTTTCTCAAATGTCTTTTTTTTAGTAGTGTATATAAAAAAAGTATTTATCATGTGTCAAATAAACAAAAACAAAATGAATTAATTTTTGGTATTTTTCATGTCTTTAGGGCAAAACCCTAATTTTATAAATAAAATGTACTTATTATATAATATATGCAATATTTATTAATTATGTACAAAAAATAAATAAAAGGGAAGTATATTATCAAAAAGTGATTTTTTAAGTTAAATATTAATAAAAATAAAAATGTATTATTTTTGATGTTTTTACCTAAATATACTAAGAAATATATAAGTATGTATATTATTTATTAAATATATTAAATATGTACAAAAATTAAGTATTTAATATTTACAAAAAAAGTATATATTTTCTATAAAATGTTTTCAAAAAAGATAAAATAAAATGAAATCAGAAAATAAATATGTTTGTATTATTTTTAGTTATTTTAAATAAAAATATATTTATGTTTATTTATGCACAAAACTAAATGAAACAAAATAAATATAAAAAAATGCAAAAAATGTGAGAAAAATAATTTTAATATTTTTTCATGCTTAAATAAAAATATTGAACCAAAATCAAAAGGAAAAAATTAAAAATGATAAATAAAACTCAAAATGGGCCAGGGGGGTGCATGTGAAATGCAATGGTGTGAAAAGGAAAACATATCAGGCCCAACCCATGAAAGGTTGTCTTCAACCTTCAGACAAAAATGTTTGAAAAAACGCGCGCCTTTCTTGCTTCAAACACAACTCCTGATTCCTGGACTTTTAGCACAAACTTATAACATGAAAGATGTCAAGCATCAAGCCACGATTCCATACATATAAAAAACTCAACTTAACTCTCAGAAATGAGAGAGAATTTCTCCATCCCTAATTCTTAACCTAAGTTTTTGTCAATGTTCAGGTCTTAAATTCTCTCAGCATATGCAATATAAATGGAAAGTGAGGGTATGTATAGCTTCAGGGCCATGAGTAGAACATTTTTCATTCATAAACTTAAAGCTATCTCTTCCTATATTGATAGATACAAGTCCATGAACTTACCTGTTCAGCTTGGATCGTGTCTGGCAATGGAGGCACTTTCAGGGCAAAGTGAGGATTGGTACAACTTGCTTGAAGCCTGGGGATGCTATTCCAACCTTTAACTTGCTTTGAAACCAAGTGAATCAAGCTATGGAAATCAACCTGCAAAACAGAAAAAGTGAAAATGGTGAAGTTGGTTAGAGGTGTTACAGGTCATGTCTAATGCTTGGGATAGCTTGTATATGTGGTATGGAGTGTGTATGAACTGGTTTTAGCAAGAATGCACGAATGGATTGAGTTATGGAAGTCCAACTGCAGAGATGACTCTGTTTTCTGCAGTAGGATGGTGTTTTGAGGTTTAGGGAGGTATGGAGGGTAGTTAGCTCGTGCCTTAGCTCAGGTTTGATGTTTGGAAGGTGTACAACAAGTTTGTCTAAGCTTCTCTTGGCAGAAATGAAAGTTGTGATAAGTTATGCCAAGTTACTTCTCACTTAAGCAAAAAATGTCAACTTGGTTTCTAGACTTGTGCAGGCCCCCTAATCATGCTGCAACCATCCCTCTAGATTAGTGTGATATGTTCCTGAACTTTTGCCAAAAGGATTTGCATTGTACTTCAAGGATTGCAATCTTGACATAAAGTTCCACTTTTCTAAAATGGATATATTGCTTTTTCTAATTAAGGACTAATCCTTCATGTAATGACCAAACTCAAAGAATAACATCTTGGCACAAAGGTTTAGCATTTAATTTTGGAGTGTAAATGATATTAGAGGCCTGTAATGTAGCTTAGAGCATGCTGAGTTAAAAAAATGCAAAGTTATGGACATGGAAATGGCTCATGAACAAAGTGAGTTTTGCCCATATTGCCAAATTCGATTCTCTCTAACCACAAGGTTGTTTGATGATTTCTTGTACATTTTGGAAAGCTTGGAATGTGTAATACAATCCATATTTGTAATGCAAGTTGAAATTCCAAGTGGAAGTATGTGGAAAGTGGCCATGAAGTTAGGCAAAAATCCTGCCTAAAATAGGTCAAAATTTTTCTAAGTTAAGAATGTTTTGCACCCTTGTTCCAAAAATAATAACTTGAGCTACAAGCTTATTTTGAGGAAACTTTGTGATTCAAAGTTGTAGATTTTGCAATGGACTACAACTTTCATGTTTTGAGTTTTCCTTGAATCCAAATGTATCTTAATGGAAAAGTGGGACAAAGTTAGGAAAAAATTAGGGATTTTCATAACTTAGAAAATTTCTAAGTTATGAAATTTCAAACCCTAATTTGTGATTTTTGATTTCTTGATGAACAAGTTTCATAATTTGACATGTTTTGATGGAAAATGAATCTTGACACTTGATTTTGACCAAAAAGTCAAAGTTTGACTTTTCAGTATACAGTCAAAAATTGATCAATTGACTGGAAAATTTATCTGTCAATCTTGTGCATTTGGGATCTTTTGAACTTGTTGAACATGCCAAGACAATTCCATGGGGTCATTGAGTCCATATGTGAGCTTGGTTTGCCATTGGTTAGGTTAAACAGTCAAAAATTGCCTTTGTGCAGTCAAAAACCCTAAAAATGACCATTTTGCTCTTTTGGTGATCTGATCAAATTTCTTGTGGAATTGTGATCCAAACTTGACCAAATGGCTCATATGAATTCAATATGTTGATGTGGGTCAAAAATCATGAGGTTTGACTGTCAATTGACCACAGTTGACTTTTTCCCCAATACAGTTGATTTCTAGGTCAACTGTCCAATTGACTGGGCAAAGTTTGGAATCAAGACTTGAAACTTGGTATGGATAAACTTGGGAGTCCAATATGAAGCATGAAAGTCATCTTGGGCACTTTAGGTCAAAACATCTTTGTGCAAACACAAACCCTAATTTGGGTCACCAGTGCAAGGAGAAGTCTTGGGGCAGAGGAAACCCTAACTGGATCTTGAGCTCCAAGGGTCTTGTGGTGAGAAAATGTTGAGGAAATGGGAGGGCAAATTTTGGGGTACAACAGTTGCCCCTGTTCAATCTTCTTGAACCTGAAGAGTTAGATTGGCAAGTTTGCCTTTCGTGACTCGAGGGTAAAAGGAGATTGGACACTAGAGTGCCCGGAAATTTGCACTCGCATGGTAGAGTATCAGCAATGTGATGTCAGGAATGGGCTTATAGATGCCATTTGGAGAGACAGTGGATAGGAGGATGGGCTTATAGATGCCATCTGGAGGCGTGACAGAACCTTATCGGGAATGGGCTTATAGATGCCATTTGGAAGTGTTGATCGCATAAGAGATTCCTTAGCGAGAACTTGCGTATTTTGAGAAAGAGAGATGTTTTCCTGGCTTGTTACAGGTGTTGATCTTCAGTCTCTTCATGCAGATATGCCCTGGCTAGATACATGTATCGAATCTGCAATTGGTTGCTCACAGATGTGCCCTGGCTAGATGCAGGAATCGAATCTGGAATTGTTGTCTACAGATATGCCCTGGCTGGATACAGGTATCGAATCTGGAATTGTCGTCTGCAGATATGCCCTGGATGGATACAGGTATCGAATCTGGAATTAGTCGCTCACAGATGTGCCCTGGCTAGATACAGGAATCGAATCTGGAACTGTAAAAGGTTGGTAGAGATAGCTTTCCTGGATGGATACAGGTGTAAGTCTCCGTCCTGAGAATGAAAGATAATTTCCTGGCCTGTTACAGGGGTTGATCTTCAAACTCTTCATGCAAATATGCCCTGGCTAGATACAGGTATCGAATCTACAATCAATCACTCACAGATGTGCCTTGGCTAGATACAGGAATCGAATCTGGAATTGCGATAGTTAATAACGATCATCTTTGGATTGACCTTTTTCCTGAAAAGGCAAAACATCAGTTACATGCAATGTCATGATGTATGAGATGCATGATGTCATGATGTTCTCAAAATGAGATCGTGTCGTATGCACTTTATCATGTATGTAAGTGGGATGTATGCAATGTGAAATGTTTATGAATGTATTTTCGTCTAGGAAAATA